ATATCTTAGCACAAGCTTGTTCATTGTTTCTGCTTGGTAGTTATAAGATGAAAGAAATATTACACTCCTGTAAATTATCAATCAAACAAAATTTGACCTCAGAACTCATACACTGAGAATAAGAGTGCATTTATTATGAGCTTTCAGCAACATTTCTCTTACGCTTGGTTAACATCAGCAAAAACAATTTTAGAAAAATCTAATGAATGGCAAAAGACACCATTTTGTTCTTGGTTCCAATGATCTCAATTGCCGATGGCCAGATTAGTAATGGTGACCTGCGTTAGGCCCTAAGACTATAGCAATTGGTGCTTACTTTCCTCATGTCTTTGTAAGCCCCTGTGTGGAGACACTGAACAGATAATGAGTAGACTTCATGATTTGCTCCACAGAAACTGAAGCTTTTTCTTCCCAGGACTGAGAACTACAATTACATTTTCAGATCAGACATTTTGTGCATGAAGTATATGCCAGTGTATGTGTGTGTTCAAATAAATTAAAATATTTCAAAAAATTAAGTTTTATTTGTGAATATCATATAAGTAATATAGAACATTGCAGTAACATCTGCAAATTAAAGTTCCAAATTAATAGCCTTTCACAACACCAGAACTGCTAAAATGAAAAAACAGTTACAAATGTTGGCAAAAATAAGGATTGACAAGATTTCTGTAGTCAGATTGACTGCTGCTAGGGAGTGTTCTTGGCTTAACTGTAGAAAAATCTGTGGCAATATAGACTAAAGTTGAATATCTGTATATGCCATGAAACTAGCAGAAGTATGAGAAGATATGTATAAGAATGTATATAACAGCACAGTTTATAACAGTCAGAAAATAGAAATGTTTCAATATTTGGCTAGAGGAAAATAGGTAACTTGTGGTACATTTATGCAGTATGCCACAATGAGAATAATAAAAAAAACAATAACTATAATGATGATGTATATCACACAATAATATGGGTGATTCTCATAAAAAAGATATTAGATAAAAAAGTCACATACAATTTTGAAATTTTAAGCATATGGTAAGTTGCAGAGAAGACCATAATAAGACCTTTGTATTAACACTAAAAATTCCAAAATGCTATTTATTTCAGTATGCATTTTTTAAAATAAGGATTGATAGCAAATAACTTTTTTTTTTAAGATTTATGTATTTATTCATACAGAACTGAGGTACAGGCCAGAGATGTGGAGGGTGAGAGGATTCACCAGAGACAGAGTGAGGAGCAGAACAGGCAGATGGACAAAGTACACTGCTGAGGGGAGCAGCGGGTGGGTCAGGAGAGGTCTGCCACGCCATGTGGATCTCCTCCAGGGCAGGCGGGGATCGAACTCATGTTGAAGTGGCTTAAGCTTCTTAGTGCCGTGCTTTAACCTACTGCGGCACCAGGGAGGGCCCAGTATGCATTTTTTAAAGATTTAATTATTTACAGAACTGGGGTACAGGCCAGAGGTGTGGTGGGTGAGAAGGTTCACCAGAGACAGAGTGGGGAGCAGAGCAGGCAGACTGACAAAGAAGAGGTCTGCCATCCCATGTGGGTCAGTTCCCTGGATGGGGATCGAACTTGTACTGCAGTGGCTTCAGAGAGCTTCATAATGCGGTGCTTTCACCTGTTGCACCACAAGGGAGAGCCCTCAGAATGCTTTTTAAAAAAATATATACATACATATAGGCATGATTTTAAAAAAACAACCACCACCTTATATTTTATGCTATTCACCATCCTTTCTCTTCAGGATTAACTTTCTCCAGAGTTAGGAGACATCCTTCTCAGTAATGTCATTATAATACTTTTTTCATATACAAACATTTCTAAAATATACTATCACTTTGATATTTTTAACTTTTTTCCTGAAGTTGCATATTTTTCCTTTGTCACTGCTTTTTTGGGTTTTTAGGATATATTAATATTTATGCATCTATTTGTTTATTCATATTATATCAGTTTTTATCTACTCCTTTATTTTTTTAGTATTTTCATAATAATAGAAATATTTTCCTGTATGTACATAATTCTTTATAATGGCATTCTCCAGAATATATGAATGGGAAGACAGTATTTTCTACCTTTCTTGAGTACAATCATTCATTATCATTGGACATATCCAGTCTTTTTCAAACCTTTTTGAACACAACATTCGGTTGGAATACAGTTATTTTTATACTATATAGTCACATGCACAAGGGTCACAAAGTAAAACTTACCTGATATGTGAAACACAGATAGTTTCCATGTTGTCCCATTTCACTCTATTCTGTTTCTTTTTACTTCATTTTTAAAATTGACTTCATAATTCACTGATGATTTTGACCTGAAGTTTGACATATTGCTACAGATGAGTCTGCACCTAAAATAGCCAAAAAAAAAAGTCTTTCTGGGACCCAACCTGGAAAGAATCTCATATTCTCTTACCAAAGCCCATGGGGATAAGGAAATTCCAATCTCTGGGAATTCCAGTTATGATTTATTATTTTTTGGGACAGAATAATGCCTTTAATTCTTTCTTGTTGAATCTATAGAAAGAAAGATAATCTATTCACTGTGTGAGAAATAGATGGGGTGAGAGACGCAGAGGGAGAATATTATTTGAAATATCTAGAGATGACCACTATTTCTAAAGACTTTAATCTGTGAACTCAAACTAATGTGTTCATATGCAGAAGCTAAAGGGAAGATTTAGAGGCCAGTGAAATGCTATTCTTGACGATTCTTTATAAAAACAGTAAGGTTTAGAGACTAACAAAGGTGAGGGGAGGGGCAATTTCCTGAAAACCATATGTTTTGATAGAATCATTGGCAAATACTTTTACTCTGTTAAGGGAGTATTTGTGTAGAAACTCCTTATGTTTGCTTATTAATTCTGTTTCACCTTCGCTATTAGCCTACACTAAATAATGCTGCGAAAATGTCATATACAGTGGTTGCTTAAGCTATCTATTTTTTCCCCTTTTATTTCTTCCTTTACTTGTGAGCTGAGTGTGTGTGTGTGTGTGTGTGTGTGTGTGATGTGTATGTGTGTATAAATGGAGCCAATGAGTCATCATCCTCTAGAAACTGCAGAGGGTGAGTCATTTCTCGACAATTGCAGTATGTGGCACTTAACCCCTAATTATCCTTTAGCTGTTCATGATAACATTTGTTATGCTTTCTTTTATTTCTACAAATTCTCTTGACATTGTTTTGTGGAGAGCAAAAGAGGTTTCAAACAGATTAGTCACAGTAATAGTCTTATGATTAGTGACTTTTTTCACCTTTAAATTTGAAAGTTTCACAAGCTTTTACAAGTACAGCTAGAAGTTAATATTGGAAAAAAAATACTTCTACATTTTTTAATTCTGCCATAAGTGCCATGTTTATTGTGAATGGTATAGGTGTGCCAATGTATTATAAATCCATATATATAAAGCAAACTTCTCTGAATTTATGCTATTGGTAATCCCCCTTAACAAACACACACACACACACACACAAAATCAGACCATGTGTTCCTTTTATGTTGTTAGAGTTTACAAAAGGTATATGGGTTTTTCTTACAACACAAGAATTATATGCTGAAACTTTCCATCACTGCCAAAGATAGGAATACAAATGCAAGTCAGAAAAAAAAGAAAATATTATCTGACAAAATAAATTGCTTATTAGAAAGCACGTTTACATCTGTCAAGATAGATTTTCAATTTTACCAATCAATTAATAACTAGTTAATCACGAAATATGTAAGAAATACAGATTGATTTTTTTTAAATGTTTAGGTGATTATCCTACTTCAAGATATTTTGATGCATTGAAATTAGCATTGGACATATAGCATGTCTTGTAAGTACTAATATTCTCAAGAAATTATTTCCATTGATTTTCCTAAATTAGTGTTGCACATACATACATATAAATATATATGCATATATGTGAAGAAACCACTAAGATAGAAGTAAAATAGATGTTATATAAAATATAGGTAAAATTATCTGAGATATCTGCAAGGAAAAGAAGAAACCACTAAAATACAATTAAAACTGAAGGCTAGTCTTGAGAAGTACATACTTGTGCATAGTTAAATATTCTATGCATATATATTCTTCATTTATTCATGAAGAATAAAAATGAATCACCATGTAGGATCCCAGAAATTTTCTTTCCTTGTATCAGTTGGGAAACTTCTTACTCTACCTGTTCCTTGATAGCCACTAACCCGTTTATACTATCAATTTATAAGTGTTTATTTTTGTTGTTCAAGTATCTATTTACATCAAAATTGATAGTTATATGCAATAACTGAATCTATTGTAAAGAACTAAACTAGATAGGGCTTCTTCTAATGCCAGCACTGTTTTTTGAATACCATAATGATCATGTTTCTAGCATTAACTTCGTTCAAAATGTTGAGAGTATATTGAGCTTTCTTTCATATTTCTTATTAATGTCAAAGAATTATATGCAAACACAAAAGTCTTTTATTTTGAAGACTGGAAAAATGCTGGTGAAATATAAATAGAAAATTGTTCAGCACAGCATACTGTTAAAATTTATCAATATATGTCATGTTTTAATAGTCAAAAGAATTCTAGTAAGTAGAAAGTTGAGAAAACATTATACCTATTTTACAAAAGTGAAAGAGTTTCGAGGAACTTAAATATGTCCCCAGTCAGATAGTAGTAAGTGATGGAGTTGGGAGGGGTTCATCCTGAGGAATTTTGGAAGTTTTGAAGTCTGTATGTTATTCACTTGACAGTCTGTTTAAACTAAGAAAGTATGTCAATAATTCATATCAGGATCAGTGTAGATAACACTGCTTTTTATTCTCTCTGAAAAAAAAAAAAAAGTGTAAAATTAAGAGGGGAAAAAAATCTGTCCTGCCTTTTTTATCAGTTGGTTTAGAGAGTAGTTTTGCAAGACTTGTTTCACTTTGTCTGGGACAAGGCAGAGCCTTGTATTTCAAACAAAAAGCAGCCAATTACTAACTTCTGGTTGCTAGGTGTGGCCTCTTTTCAAGTTCTATAAAAGAGGAACCCTCAACTCCACTTCCAGTGTGAAATCTTCAGAGAAGGCTCTCTTTAGTTCTTGGGTAGAAGAAGGGAAAAGGTAAGTCATGGTTTTTCTTCTAGTTAATTTTGAAAACCTTCCCCATCTTGATATTAAATGTTACTGCTTCTGTAAGATTTAAGACTAATGACATTTAGCATGCTGGAGCAATCTTTCTCTAAGAGACACTGGGCATTTACATTTTGGCATCATAAACTGTAATGTTTTTTACTTAGCTCAGAAACACAATTTTAAAATTAGGGAAGTCTGCTTAATACTTGTTTACCATACTGTTGGTGAGTTACCATGGAAAAGAAGGAAAATATGTGATTTCTTCCTCCGAGTTATGAGTTTCCAAGAGCTGTGTGCCTTAGGGGGAACTCATGATAAAGGGTGGGCATTGTGGGGGGCCAGGCCAGGTCGTCAGTGTCAAAGGTGGGTTTCAGGGAACTGTTTTAAATTATGAAAACTTAGGCAATTTATTTTCATCTTTTATATGGAAAATTAAATAGATTCATACTTCATAGTAGTAATCATACCTTTGTAACTATCATTTTGAAATTAATGTTATGTTTACTCAGGCACTGCAAATACAAGAAAGGATCCGCTTATTCTTTTTTTCACTTGTAGAGGGTGTGGTCACATTCTTAGTCCCGTAGACTCTGTGTCATAGACAGGCTTTTCCAGTCTGATTTGAAAACCTAAGAGGAAAGGAAATGTTTCCTGGGTGGTGTCAGATAAATTAGCCTCAGGAATGTTGATAGAAACCTGAAAATTATTTTACTTAATAACATCTTGATTGCTGAATGAGCTAAAGGTTAGCAAAAAACAAACAAACAAAAAAAAAAACACACAAAAAAGTATCATCTAAAGTGCTCTTTTCTAATGGTGTTGGATATATTTTCAAAAGTGAGAGGGTAGGATCATAATCATGCATCTATCTGGCTATTTTTTACTTCAACTGTTCCTACAAGAATTTTTTTTACTCTGTTTTGAGAGTTAAATGAGATGTCCTAATCCTTCATTTTTAATTCTAACTAATTAAGAAAGTTATGTTCTTTCTTGAACTTGTTTACATTAAGAATTATATATGGACTTGGCAAAAGTAATATTCCCCTCTGCTCACAGGAATGCGTTTTGGTAGACACACTGTAAAATCATTCAAGTATGGAAAGTGCTGGTTTCATAAGTCTGAAATGGCCTCTTTTCCATAAGTCATGTTACCACCCTAGCCCGAGGCTCATTCTCATCTGGCAGAGAACCAACATTGGACTGTTGACAATAGAGTTAATTATAACATTATTAGGGACCAACTAGACTTCCTGTTTATTAAATACATTTTCAATCCAAAGATCTGCAAAGGTTGCTTCTGTATATAATAACTTACCAAGTTGGTTGTTTTTAATCCTCCTTAGACCCATTCATTTATGACTGTTTAAAATAAAAGCTATAGCAATGGGCTTTTACAAATTAAAAACAGATTTTTGAGTAAAATATTTCCTCTTTCTTTAAAGTGGGATAATTTTTTTTTCCTGAAAGATCAAACCAGATAAAACTTATAAAACTCTTTTCTTTCATTATGCTAATTTTCTTTTCCTTCATCCATTTGAAGTGAAACTTAGGATGGACACTTCAAAATTTTAATAGATCTTAGATACTTTTTACTTAGAAACTCTCATTTTTACAAGTGAAGTCCTCTTACACTCCCTGGAGAAGTTAAATGATTTTGTAAATTCATATGGGCCAGTTCAAGAGAACCAAAATAAATCTCAGAACTTCTTATTTTGTGTTTGCTTCTATATGCTTTAGTTAAATTAGTGTAAATATGTTTGCTAAATAAATGGCAGTGATACACTATTCATTCAATAGTACTTATTAGAAAACCAAATAGTAGGCATTTTGCCAGGGATGGGAAGTATGTAATGAATAATATATGTGCACTGTGTCATGAAACAATGCTGGGAAGCTTAGTGAAGTAAGTGGAAAATGATAACACCAGAGTAATAGGGGCAAGGAAGGGGTAGAGGCAGGATGTTTTAACAGAACACAGAAGGCCACCTAACCCAGTGTTAGAACAGTGAAGGTTTTCTGAGGATGCGATCAGGTTTGTGCTGAATCCTCCCTTGGAAGCAACAGTTAGGCAGACAGCAGAGGCAGAAGAGGGTGTGGTGGAGGTAACAGATTCCAGGCAAAGGGAACACCCTATGAAAGGCCTAGAAGCAAAACATTCTTGAGACTACCTTTCATAAAGTGGTTCTTCATAAGCTGTACAATTTTATGGTCTGATTGCTTTATTTCACATAGATAGGTGTGGAAAGGACTTGTGAAAATAATATATTAGAAGAAAAACCGTGCACAAGGCAATGCATTGAAAAATAAACTCCTTAAGGCTGGGGTTAACCCATTTTCCATGGGTTAACTGTTATGAATTTAACTGTGAGCTATTAAAAATGACATCTTTGTGGTCACTCTATTTTTTACACACAATACTTTAAAATTAAAAGAAACAAAACAAAACATGGCTTTATGTATGCCATTATCAGTGGAAAACTACCAGGAAGTTATAGCTTTTTCCTGGATAGAAAATGGGGATAAAGAAAGTGACCTGTATGTGTGTGGATTAATCATTGTAGAACTCTAGTCATTCTAGCTTGTCACCAGAAAGGTCTGATAGACCACAAAACTTGACTTCCGCTATCATAGATTCTGGAAGTAGCTTTTTACGAAACTGCAAGTTTAAAAAAAAAAAAAAAAGTTGGAAGAACATTGCTAAACCACAGCATTTTTAAGCCACAAAATTACCATATGCTTTTCACCCAGACTCCCCAATTCATAACATTTACCATATTTGTTATATTATTATATTTCTTGCCCATTCACCTTTTAAGCTATTTTCAGTTAATTGTGATTTTTTTTTTCTGTTCCATCTGAGAGAACATTTCAGATGTTTCTTTATCTCTAGGTACTTTTGTCTGCATGTATTAAAAGAAAATAAGGGCAGGACTTAATACAACTTTAAAAAATCAGAAAATTGACACAACAAACTTTTAATGTATGCAAATTATCCCCTTGTCCCAGTTGTTAAGGTCTTATTTCTTAAATAACTTTTTCTTAGAGCTTAGTCAGCATGGATACTTCTCTGTCTGGTATCCTGGATATTTTCTTTATTCAGATTTACCATCTTTAATTTCTTACTGCATATATGGAAAGTACTCTCATATGACACAAGGATATACAAAAAATACTAATCTCCAGAAAGCTACTCAGAGGTAACCTGAGAATGGCAGGAAACTCATGTTCTCAGAAAGACTATTAGTTTGAAGAACTGTGAAATATTGTTAATTTCTGCATAGATCAGCCTTTTTATAAATGGCTCTTACATTTCATTATCAAATTAGATGATTCAAGCATTGTTTTCAGAACTCATTGGTAGTTAGATTAAGTATATGTTGAGACAAGACAAGTTAAAAAAGTGTACTGTTTAGCAGTATCAGTTCTAGACATTGTAACTATAAAGAAAAGAAAAAAAAGAGAATTCTTAGTGAAGTCATTAGGTTATTTAAATTATTTTTTAACTGTATACTTCTGTTTTCTAAACATTTTCTGAATAATATTATTTGTAAGACATGGAGTCTTTAGAACATGTTTGTATGCACTACATATTTAAAATAAACAGTGTTACCTTAAATTTTTAATGTGTTTTACCAAGTACAAAAATGTCTGTTTTCATGTAGAGGACAGAATAGTTCAGTGATACATCTGAATCAAAATATTTTGCGGTGGTATTTGTAAGGTGTGTTGCAACTGTTAAGAGATTCCTGTAACACATGCAGTTGATTGGGGCACTTAACTCTAGGAGTACATGATGCAACCTATTCCTTTTAGAGAAATTTCTTACATTCTACCACAATCCTTCTGTCTTTCAGCTATACTAAGGACTACTGGATATAATTTGGCTGAATTGAAATTCCATTTTCCTCTAATTGCTTTTCTAAAACAGGTTCTATTCAGGCTACTTTTACAGATCATGCTTTTAAGTCAACCAAAATATTTCAACATAAAATCTAGAAATTCTGAATACATGTTACAGTGGAACACTGTGATTTCAAATAAATTACTTAAGTCTTTTATTTTTATTTTGTATTATGCAATTAAAATAGCTGTATCAATATTTTCCTAGGATTTCTCAAGCTTTTTTTTTTTTTTTTTTAAAGAAATGAATGCATTATGTAAGCAACTGGAGAAGTAAAAAAGTGAAGTAAAGTTTGCATAAAATTTATGTTTAATTTTTAAAATTATATTCCACCGTATCCTTAATCTCACCTTTGATCTCTTTTGAAGTTTTTATTTTCTAACTGAAAACGGTGGAAATATTGGAGCACATGTTTCTATGACTAATGGAAAGGAGCTTTACTAAATAGCCAATCATAAACTTCATTTTGATTATTCTCCTTTATGAAAATCATGGATGAGATGATAAAAATGGAAATTTTTAGAATTGGAACCTAGCCAGAAAATGCTAGTGTTAGATGTACCAATTAAGCAATTGGAAAATTGCTAAGAGCACCAGATTATGACTAAAACCTCCTGTAAATCACACATCATGGCTTCACATTAGGAAACAAGTTCGTTTATCAATCGTTGGGGGAAGTGGTTACATGAATGCATGTTGTAGTGGTTCTTCTTACAGAAGAGCGAATAGTAATTTGATCAATTCTCATCATAATTTAGTACAGATAAATCCTGCTAAGGATATCATTTCCTGCCTATATTTAATCACATTACTCAATACTATAGTTATTTTTCAGCAGGTGTGGGTTGAAACACTTTGTCTGAACATGCTGTTAAGGAACTAGGTTACAGGTTTCATACCTTGTGAGTCATTTAACTTCATGGAAAAATGTAAAGCTGCAAAAATTATCCTTTCATTGTCCTTCACATAATCCTGAGAGTGGATTCCAGAAAGGCAAGCAACAGTGTGGCTAGGCTGTGTCTGGACCTTGAACAATGGCTTTTTTTTTATGTGTGGGAAATCAAAGAACACATTAACTTTAAGCATACTTCAGGTTTTAAAAAATACACATATTCATAAATTAAATATTTCTGAACCATGACAGCCATTTAAGAAATTTCCTTTGAGATGAAGATTGCAGAAGAGGATGTGTATGTTGCAACTTCACCCTTATACTTCCTATTAGAGCAAATAACCTGCTAAAAAGCTTTTACTAGTTTTTTGAGTGCATGTATGTATTGGGTGGAAAAACATTTCAGACTAGTGTTTAGAAGGCACAAAATAGGAAGAAATCTAAGTAGCAATTATTATGTCAGGAGCTAAAATAACATTCTACCAACAAATGAAAAAAGAAAATTATTCAGGGAAGAAAATATCTTCTGAATGTCTCTTCATAGAGTTGAGACTGAGTCCACTCTTGCAGGTTGTTTTACCGTCAGAGAGTACATGTCCAGTTTTTTGATCGCCATTATTTTTCCAGACTGACTTAATGATCTCTTTTCTTACCTCTTGTCTCTCTCTTAACAAATCTCCTAGCTGTTCTCCATAACCATTCTGAAATATAAATGGCATCATGTCACTTTAATTTAAAAAATTCATTAATGTTTCCCCAAAATTTAGGTATATATTTAACTTCTTTGTTCAGGTTCCTGCCAACATTTCCATGCTGGTAAGCTTTCATGTTTCTGTTATTTTTTCTGCCAGGTTAATCTTGAGTCATTTTTGAAGATGCTTGGATTAGTGGCTTCATCTATGAAGTTTCTTTAGCTTTTGTGTCTTCCCAGGGACAACACACACTGAACTTTAAATTATTTGATAAGGGATGATGCTTCAGTGCTTTTGGATCTTCAGTGTCTGCCATACTGGGCTGGAAATTTAGAACAGTGAAATAAATAGGCCATTGTTCTCTTCAACCTAGACTTATTTGTAGAAGTCATTTGATCTCTAAAAATTTGGACTGAATATGACAAGAAAGAATCAAGTTTCTAATTAGTGGCTCTCAGTTTCTGTTGAAGGTGAAGACTTTCCTTTCAAAATCCTTCCCATATGCTCTTAAGATCAATTCTGGAAAGAAAGGTCAAGGCTACTATGTGTGTTATGTATGTGAAGGCATGGAATTATGTGTATGTGTAGTGGGCTTGTTTTTTAAAAGTCTGTTTCTTTTCCAGGTACTTTTTTAAAAATGTCCATGGTACAAGAATTCCTCAAGCAGGCCTGGTTTATTGACAATGAAGAACAAGAATACATTGTAAGTCAAGAAATAGATCATTTAGTTAAGTATTAAAATTGAGACGAATATGAACAAATGGACATAATGTATGTCTCTGTCTTCTGTAGAAAACTGTGAAAGGATCCAAAGGTGGTCATGGCTCAGCAGTGGGTCCCTACCCAAGCTTCAATCCATCCTCGGATGTTGAGGCCTTGCATAAAGCGATAACAGTTAAAGGTAACGATGTCTCCTCAAAACATTTCCATCTTGGACATTTCAAAATTGTTTTTTAAGTGGCTATTGGAATATAGATGTGCAATGAAAAGATCCTTACATTTTAAAGCTCAAAAAGGCTATCAACTAGTAAAGCCACAGCAGGTTTTATTCAGAAACAGAATAACAAAACAAATGGGCAGAATACATTTTTATTAATAGCCATAAACTTCAGGCTTTTCCTGGACCCTCACCAATATGCTCTCCAAACACACCGACTTCCTGCCAGTTCCCCTGGAAAAGGAAACAATGAGAAAATGTTTACTGTAATTTGTTGCCTATGTGTGTGTATATAATCCTAGCCTCCTGGTGCCATTTAACTAGAGCTCTGAATATCTATGCTGACAGGTTAAAACATTTCTTTGTCTAATGAAGATACATTTCCTTTTTCAACACTTAGGAAATTTTAATCAAATCAATGGAATCTGTAGCTACCATAGATAGCTTGACAAACTCATTTTTTTTTAAGATTTATTTATCTATACAAGAACTGGGGTACAGGCCAGAGATGGAGGAGGTGAGAGGATTCACCAGAGACAGAGTGGGGAGCAGAACAGGCTGACTGACTGAAATGTATTGCTGAGGGGAGCAGTGGGCAAGATAGGAGAGGTCTGCTGGCCAGGGATTGAACTCATGTTACAGTTGCTGCTGCTAGTTTAATAGTGCTTTAACCTGTTGCACTACCTGGGAGGGACCCCCCAACCCTAAAATAAATATCTCTGCTCATGTAGGGTCTGAGCTAAGATCAAACTCTGCAACAGTGAGGGACAGGAATAATTCCTGCTGCTCTCCCTATTCAAGTGAAAGGAATATAATGCAAAGTGCTACCTTTGATAGTAGTGTCTCATCTGTAGTCTAAACTGTGGCAATTAATATGTTTCATTTTGTTAAGATCTTCGTTCTTGACAATGAATAATAGCATTCATTATGGCATTTATGGATGACAAAGGACGTTGATTTTTTTTTTCTATTTCCTTTATTATTTTTAATAGTAGTTTAGTTTTACATCATTTTGTGCCTTTTCCCATCTCAGTTGTAATCCCCGTGGGCTTGCCATCACCATAGTCCAGTGTACTTCCCTCTCCCCACTGTTTTTGATCCCATACCCCACTCCACCCCTGTAAAATGCAAAGGACATTGATTTTAAAAGCGTATGGTTCTTTATTACTAGGTGTGGATGAAGCAACTATCATTGACATTCTGACTAAGAGAAATAATGCACAGCGCCAACAGATCAAGGCAGCATATCTCCAGGAAAAAGGAAAGGTCAGTTGAAGTCATAAATTGAGATATTTGATTTCAGTTTAAATATGAATTTTGAAGCAGAGTTACCTATTTTTTTCTATTGATAGCACTTTTTTCCTATTACAGCTAAGAGTGGGGTTGTGGAATTTATCCACTTGATAGAATTGAATCCATTCTAGCAAATTTACTGGTTTCATATATTGGTCATCTTGGTTAAGGTTTTTTGTAGATGTGGTGTTCAATATTAGAAGCAAAATTTTAATTTGACAGTAAAGTTTAAGATTACTTTTGGCAATAATGAATATGTTGTGATTCAAAAATGTCTTCTGCTGAAATTTAAACTGAGATATTCAATGCCTAAATGTCAAGTTTATAAAAGAATTCTACCTTCAAAGTTAATTCTATATTTTCTATGCCAACATGGGTAGTTGTCTTCTAAGAACTATAACTAAAAAGGTATATAATGTCAATGTGTAATTATAGTGCTTATTTGAGCATTGTAAAATTAGAGCACTCAAAGATTAGAAAAATTATTAGTGTATTGTTCTTAAAGTATTCTTGTTACCTTTTCTTTTCACCCACCTGTTTTGAGCTTTGTGATTTGTTTCCTGAATAAAAGATCAAACCCAGTTCTTTAAGGAGTTATCATTGAATTCAGTCAATTCATTCTAATTGCTCTAGATTTAGATTAAGATAACAGTCTAAGTTCCCAGTACCCTTTGTATTTATTGTGAAAGGAGTAAAGATGGCTGGGTATCCAAACAGCAGGAAGGTGACCTTAAGTTCAGGTAACACCAGTTGTTGTAGAACCCAGCACATTCCTTCACAGAAGTCATGATTCTAATCTTTTTGTTACAGCCCCTGGATGAAGCTCTGAAAAAAGCCCTTTCTGGTCACCTTGAAGAGGTAGTTTTGGCTCTATTGAAAACTCCAGCCCAGTTTGATGCTGATGAGCTATATGGGGCCATGAAGGTAATGCCTGAGTTAAGCAGTCTCTTTTCCTCACATGAATATGTAGGTCAAGGTTACATCAGCCTGCTATTATTTCTTCGACATCTAGTATAAGGCTTTCCAAGTGGGAATAAAATGAACAAATGAGTTATTAAATAAATATTGATGCTAACAACTGAGTTACTTTCATCTTCCCATGATGCCCTGTCCAGGTTGTGTCATTTTTAATATCATTAAATTGGCCTAAAACCCACTTTGCAATATAATAGAACTTTTTTCATTATTAAATATTGTGAATACCTACTACATATTCTAGGAAATTTACTGAATGCCACAATCACACTAATTTTGGGACACAAAAACTAGTTAATGCTCTTGAATAGAATTTTTCCTATATTTCTTCTTCTCTTTCAATACAGGGTCTTGGAACTGATGAAGATACTCTGAATGAAATTCTGGCATCAAGAACTAACAGAGAAATCAGAGAAATTAACAGAGTGTATAGGGAAGGTAAGTTTTAATGCCTAGCATTCCAAGCACCATACAAAAGAAATCTGTTCTTAAATTGGAATACGGGTGTTCAATATGGGGTTAGAAATGTTATCTGTTGAAACATTTCTTAAATTTGGGGCACACATCTACTAGATACATACTATTCTCAAGCAGCTTTCATATTACCAGGTTGCAGATAGAGGAGATAAGCGCCAGCCTTCTTCAAATTTGCTGTATAATAGAGCTGTGGACAAATGGCTACATAATCTTGTGGCAGAAAACTCATTCATCTATTATTTATTCATCTAGCTCATAAAAATATCTTTAATTTTAAAAAGCTAATAAAGAAAAGTTGGACCTTCCCTGGTGGCGCAACAGGTAAGGACGCAGCACGTAAGTGAGTTGGAGCCACTTCAGTGAGAGTTGAATCCCGAGGTCCGGCTGTGACACACATGGCGCGGCAGACTTCTCCTGACCCGCCCACTGCTTTCCTCAGCAGTGTACTTCACCATTAGGCCTGTTCTGCTCCCTGCTCTGTCCCTGGTGAATCCTCTCACCGCCCCTGCACCATGGGCTTGTACCCCAGTTCTGTATGCGTAAACAAATCTTGAAAAAAAAGAAAAATTTGTATCAAACATAATTGACTCATTTTGACCACCACTGCTTATTTTATCCAGTGAAGCATCTCATTTATATGCTATGTTCAACACTTTAAAAAAGGTAGCAACTGAGTCTTGGAAAATGCTGGTAATTTTATTGATTTCCTTCTCCAGTTTCCCAAGCCCCTACCTATTTTGATTTCTTCACCCAATATGTGACATTACAGAGAATCATTTTGGTTGATTTTCATGTCAAATATGGAGAGTGCGATAATTCTTAAAGACTTATTTATGTATGCATACAGAACTGGGTACAGGCCAGAGGTGCAGGGGCAGTGAGAAGCTTCACCAGAGACAGTAGCAAGCAGAATAGGCAGGTCAACAAAGTACACTACTGAGGAGAGCAGTGGGTAAGACAGGAGAGGTCTGCTGTGCCATGTGGGTCAGCTCCCTGGCCAGGAGCTGTTTCAGCTAGCTTCACAGTGCTGCACTTTAACCTACTGCACCACCAGGGAGAGACCTTTTAGAACAAGAGAATAAAGATGCTGTTAACTCTATTTTCTGCAATTATCTCATTACCAATATTTACCTTAAATCTGTCTATCAGTGATAATGATCAAGAGGTACAGTGTTGTTAAATTTTTTTAAAAATTTATTTGTGCATACAGAACTGGGGTGGCGAGAGGCTTCACCAGAGACAGAGTGGGGAACAGAACAGGCAGATCGATGAAGTACACTGCTGAGGGGAGCAGCGG